TAACTAAATTACTGAACCACTCGAATGAAGAACAAAAAGCTGCAACAGAAAAGAGGAACTAATTCTTCTCTAATGACGTTCAATGCAGACAAACGAAAGTGAACTGTTTATCCGACGAAGGCATTAGAAGAAAACGATAGGTTTCAATATTTGACAGACATCAATGTATCTGTCATTAGTCTATACAAAATTTTCCTGTTACAATTCAGGATTATATAGCAATAAAAATAAGCATAGAAAAAAGGGTTCTTAAGTAAGTAGTTGTAAAGAAAAGCTACTGTTTATCAAATTAAACAGAGGTTATAAGATACGTATAAATTATATTGAATCAGCGATCAAAAATATGGTAAACTGTCTTCTTTTTTCAACTTCAAAACTTTTTCAACTTTTTTCTTTGTTCTTTTTTTTTTATTTTCCATTTTCCACTCTTTGTTTTTCTTACATAAATTGTAGGAGAAGCTATAATTGCTAAGTTTAGCAATGTGCGGGTAATCAAACGCTTTATTTTCAGTCAACTGTTGACATCGACTGAAAAACGGTATTTATAATGAATTATTTGACAATAAATTCTATGTGTTCTACTAACTGATAATATGGCTAATAATGATAAATAGTGGTAGTGGTAACAACACAAAAAACAGTAATAATAATAATAAATAAAATAACCTTTATAGTAAAATAGTAATAAATAATGTACCTAAAATTAATGCTTAAAAAAATAATTTATTTTTGCTTGTAAAAACTAATCAAAAAAAAAAGCCTTATTTGGGCTTATGTGAAATCCAAATGCAGTGTAAACTGAGTTTACCGTTGACCGCCACTGATCAGTTTAGTGCTTGTAAATTTTATCACTAATATACGTGTAAAGTATTGTTTTTTTGTATTTAATAAAAAATTTTGCCATTTTTTTTTTGTGTCTGTATTTTTATTGACAGTATAGGAAAAGCAAAAAAATGTTAATACAGTGGTTGGTTACAAGTTGTCACCTGTAACTTTTTGGATGATTGAAAAACAGAAAAGTTGGCAGGAAATTCGTTAACAATTATTAACAATCGTCTAATTTTTTTTTAATGTTTATGTCAATGTGTGTATCTGTATTATTTTTCACCAAAACTGTTACTGGTGATGGTAAAAGAGTATTTTTTTTTTTCAATTATGTTTTTATCAAATGGTATAAATTGCTGCTTTTTGTTGCTATGTCTGTTCCGTTTTTTTTTTTCTTCGTTTTTTTATCCAATGTAAAGAAAAAACCAAATTGTTTACTCTTTTCTTCTTTATTACTTTAACTGTTTTTTTTATTTTTACTTTTTTTTTGGTTAAAAAGAATTATTTCCAATAGAAATGGCTCAAAGAAATAGAAACAGCTAAGAAAATCAACTTTTTTTGCAGTCTTTTCTTTTTGAATTTTAAGTGTATAAAATATCCTGTGTTTAGACGACATTTTAAGTGTTCTGGTAATTTTGATGTTTTGAAATAACACTGCAAAAAATCGCATAAACTTTGGTATTATTGAAATTTATTTGGTAAACAAAAAAACCAACAGAAAAAAAAAAAAAA